GCGGAAAGGTGAGACCATTGTTAGACAAAGTAGAGGCGTTATGGAAGTACTGAGCTCCTCATATGAAGAAACAGGTGAGGGCTTTTATGGGGCTAGCTAGTTATTATAGAAGATTTGTACCTCATTTTGCACACTTAGTAGTACCCTTGATAGAGATGATAAAGGCGGGGGCCCCAACCAAGGCGAGGTGGACGCCGGAGGTGGAAAAGGCATTTCAAGTAGTGAAGGACGCACTATGTTTGCAGCCCCTACTATATACACCAGATTTTAATAAGCCTTTCCTGGTGCAGGCCGACACATCAAATGTGGCTATTGGAGCGGTGTTGGTCCAGAGAGAAGGAGAAGAAGAACATCCTATAGCCTACATAAGTAGGAAATTACACCCACCAGAATGGAATCATGCCGCGATAAAGAAATAGTGTTAGGCAATTAAGTGGGCTGTTGAAACACTCCAATATTATCTGTTAGGGCGACGGTTCACGCTGATCACAGATCATGCACCTCTATGCTGGCTGTAGAGCATGAAGACAGATAATGCTAGACAGATGAGATGGGTCCTTGTCTGCAACCATATTGCTTTGAGGTGGAGCATCACCCAGGAATTCAGAATGTAAGTGCCGATTTCTTCTCGAGACAATACAAAGAAGAAGAGGGTCTGGGGGAGAAAGAAGGAACCCAATCAAAAGAGAAGAGGAGGGGTGTAACAGGGAACCCTAGCCCTGTTACCAAGAAACAGGGTGGTCCCTTTAAATCCAGAACCTTCCAGACACGGCCAGCCGGTCAAGTAGAGGTTAAGGATCGAGCCCTGCCAGCCGGTCAGGTGACAGGAAGGGGATGGCCAGAACCCTATAAACAGCAGGTGGAGAAAGCACAGAAGCAACAGAGAGGGTGCAGTGTTCGTGGGGTGAGCGGACCCCAGAACCAGAGAGGGCGCAGTATTCAGGGGTGAGCAGACCACAGTGCCGAAGAGGGCTCAGGAGCCCGAGTGAGTTTTGAGAGCTAGAGCCTTGGAGTCAAGCCCTGATTAGTGGGTTTTTGACTGACAGGCCTAGCTAGAGAGAGAAGGGGTAAGCCCACAGCGGCTGAGACCTGAACATAAAGAGGAATTTATAAATGCCATCTGCAAGGCTTGGGCTGCAGTATAGGGGAGGAACAGAGCCACAGATAGCACCCCCTGGCATCGGGGCAAGAAATGGGCAGCCTCCCGCCTAATTAAGATCATTAATTAATTAATAACAGGTGTGGCAGATGAAAAAACAGGTGGTTAGCCCAGAAACAGGTGGGCGGGCCAAAGACAAAATTGGCCCTGAGAAGGCCCCCTGCTACAGGGGCACTCAGTCAGGACTGACCACTGATGTTTACAAATGTGTCCTGGTACAAAAAACATTGAGAACCACTGCTCTAGGCTACTGGGCTAAAATGTAAAAGATGTCCTCCCAGTTACAGGTTTGGAGCCTTATATGCATCCCTGTGGCTGTGTACACATAAGCAGGGGCGTGCCTTTGCAGCAGCACAAATTTCTGCTGCTACTTTGTGCCGCAGTGCATGCCCCTGCTCACGTGCTTTGCAGAGGGACACTTTGCCCCACTGCTCTATGTGCTGCAGGGGAAGGGGACCTGACTGGGGCACAGGGTGCCTCAAGAAGGGCTAGCCATCCCCTGTGCTGAGGCACCCTGTGCCCCAGCCAGCCAGGGAGCAGCACATGGAGATAGCCCTGGGCTGCTGCTCCCCTATCTCTGTGCACTGCAGAGCCCCCGCACTGCTGTGCCCTAGCCAGCCACTCCCTGGCTGACTGGGGTGCAGTGTGCCTTGAGACAGGAGCAAACAGCCTTGGTATGAATGCTCCCCTGTCTCTGCATGCCTCGGTATAGGGACTCCACTGTGGAGCCCCCAGACTGAGGCACATGAAGCACCAATGCTAACGCACACTGTGCCCCAGTCAGCAGCTCCGCAGTGAAGCCCCCATGCTGAGGCACAAGAAGACAGGGAAGCAGCCAGCCCAGGGCTGCCTGCTCCCCCACTGAGGCACCCTGCAACCCAGCCAGATGGGAAGTGGCTGGTTGGGGTTCAGGGTGCCTCAGCACAGGGGCTCCACAGCACACAGAGATGGGTTTGTCCACATCTCTCTGTTTGTCCCAGCACCTGCCACTTTGGCATGGTTTGCACCACTTTTTTCCAGGTTTTTTTTTTGTTTCCAGAAATCCCAGTAGCAAATTTTGCCCTGGCACTGCAAATTAGCAGCACTGCACACTGATTAAGGTGCAACTCATGCAATTTGTGGTACTGCAAAGAGGTTTGCCTCGCCACAAACCACACGTGCCTGCATGTCTGGATCCAGTCTGTGTGAGTATATGGTACTGTGTACCTGCCCAGTCAGAGTGCCAGCTACTGAGTGTGTTATGTGCACATGTGGCTGTTTGGGCAGCCAGGGCTGAATCTGCACATAAGTACCAAAAACTGCAGATACGCAGCTGCATAATTGCCATTTAGATACATAAAGCAAATGTTATTTAGCCCATAATTTCAGGATAACTGCTTGAATCCACTCACCTTTCTTCTCCTTGGAGAAGCTCTCCAGTTTGCTCCGGATGGATTTGTTTTGTTTAGGTCCAGCTAAGGAGGGAAAGGAAAGACTACATGTCATTAGATTATCTGCAGCACATTTGCTATCCAAACATGTGGAAAACTTTCGGTCACTTACACAGTGTAATGTAAAATTCCCTCTCTCAGCCCAAAAGCTTCTGCAGATTTCAAGTCAGATTTCTGTCTACTTTCTATAGTCAGTGGGAGGAGAGGTTATGTTTTACCAGAATCTATCATATTACTCTCTGCAGTAATACACTGCCCTTTATTCTACCCTCACCCACAGCTTTAGGTCTGATTTTTAGGATGTCCTCTTTTTGTAAGAAAAAGCAAGAAGCCAAAGAGTAAATTCTAATGGTTACATACTGTACCTGCCCTTCTTCCACTTTCTAACCTCTAGCAGCCTCAGTGATGTGCTAGCAATATGCAGCAGCTAAGATTTAGTACAGACAGGGAAGTAACCACTAGGCAGCCAAAAAATATATTGACATGAATTAGTTCAGCCATAATCAGAACAGTAATTAATCACTACAAAAATGTACCGCTTTTCTGAAGTCAAATGAAAACATAAATATCAGCTTATTTGGTTTTACCTTCCAGTTTGTATTAGACTTCCTTCCCTTAGCATTCTCACACTTGTTTTTTTTAACTCCACTATTTTAGTAGTGCGTGATGAATGCATGAACTTGTATGAGTGTTTGAGACTAAATGTTCCAGATGGTATATAAAAAAAGATACAGAATTTATTGGTGAAACTTTAGAATGGCTTCTCAAACACTTTAAACACCCCCAGATTAAACCATCCTGCTGTCTGTACATAAATCTCTGGGTAGAGGAGCTTTGCTGAACGTTTTTGAGGAAGAAGTGTTTATGTAGGGACAGGTCAGAGAGAGGAGCAGACAGAGCACAGAAACAGGGAGTTTTTGTGTGTTATCATGGTTTCACTTTACAACTAAAGCATCTACAACTCTCATCATGTAAGCTACCATAAACTTCAAATATACTGCACATGAACACAAACATAACTAGCTTCTAAAATTCAGTAGAAACAAAGGTAACTATATAATAATGTAAAGCAATATTAATAGCTGGCTTCATTTTTATGAATAACCATTTTTGCATTAATTTTGGAGATTTTCTGCCCATCAATATGTGTTGCCATGCATATCAGACCCATGTTCTCTCTAGTGCAGTATTCTTCTTCAGTCTGTAGCAGCTCCTGGCCCAGGGGCAGATCCAGGGAGGAGTTTGGTGATAGTGTTGTACCCTGCCTTTGATTCCTGCTCCACTCAAAATTTAAAACAAATTACCCAGTAGGAACTACCACGTTTCTAGTCAGGCAGAGCTGAGGGAGTCAACCGACTTCACAGCTCATTATCATGTCTTTTTCCTGATAACCTCTTCACTCTATAGGCATTAACAGCATTTGGTCTTCCACTAATCAAGCTATTCTTCCATATACAATTATCCTGTCTTCTACATATTTCTGGTAATGATTCTCTGCTAACCCCACAGTGTGACCAATAAAGGTGTGTCATCTACCCTGGTGATCTTCAAAAAACATCTTGATGCTTATCTTGCTAGAGTCATCTGATCCTAGCAGTCTTTCCTGCCCAAATGCAGGGGGCTGGGCCCGATGATCTGTAAAGTCCCTTCCAGCCCCTAACAAGCATGAAACTATGAAACTACCTAGGAACCTTTACTGGATGGCTTTAATCCTAGAGCAGTGGTTTTCAACCTGTGGTCCACAGACCCTTTGGGGTCTGCAGACTATATCTAAGGGGCCTGCAAAAGATGACTATGATCAATCGAAAGTATGTGAATGCCTACACTTACAATTCAAAGGGGTCCACACTTCCATTAAAAAAATTTTAGGGGTCTGAAAATGAAAATAGGTTGAAAGCTACTGTCCTAGGGGATTTGAGCCCACAACAAATCAAAGGCGGGGGGAGGGGGAGGGTGAAGGCAGGCTGTGTTGTGCAGTGGTGCAGCACTCAGGTGAGGTGAAGAGATCAACCCCTTTATGGATTATTCATTGTAGCAGATGGAGGATGCTGTGGAGGATGCTGTGGGAGACTGAACCAGTAGCACAACCAGGGCAGCATAAAACCAAGGTGGACCCAGAGGGGTTGATCTTCCTGGCTGAAATGTTTCCTCCCTTGATCCCAACTGTTAGTTTCTGTACACTGAGGTTGAAGGACAGTTGAGGCCAGTTATGGCAGGCTGAAAGGAAATATGAGAGAAGTTGGCATTCAGCCCCTGCCCCCACAACCCCCAACTCAGTTCTGTTTGTTTTTGCTTGGATCTTAATATAGCCCTAAGCCCCTAGCATATAGGTAGAGTTTCTAGTTTCTTTTTAACTGAAGAAAAATATGCACTGTATTATGAGTTGATGCATTACACCATCTGCACACCCCCCCCCCCCTTTTCAACATCCTAGATTGGCCCATGTTAAGACACTTACATTTTGTTGGCATAACTGTGTAAGAACAGCCCCCTCTGGCAACATAGCTCTGCCAAAAAAAAAGCCAGAGGCATGATAAGCAGTTTCTGTTTCCTGGGCTGGCCGCAGTAGCACTGGGTTGGTACCCCAGTCACCAACAACTTGTTACATTACTGGCAAAAGCTATGCCAGCATACACTATCAAAGAAAGCCTTTTCCTGGTGTAGCTTATACTGTTTGGGAAGCTGGTCTTTCTAAACAGAGACCTATATGGCTCTACCCAGGCGCAGATTCAGAGGGATCCAGATGTTAAAATGGGGTTGTGGCAGCATGGTTGCATCCCCCTTCGGCTGTGTCACATGAGCTCTCAGCGTAGGGTCTGCTCAGAGCCCCTCCTTTCACGCAGCTCCAAAGTCCAGAGGGTGAGCATTCATCCCCTGGGCTTTGGGTTTTGGAAACACATGAAAGCTGGTGGGCCCCAATCAGCTGGTGAATTCAGAGTTCACTGCTTACATGGAGCTCCAGCAGGAGCCTGCACATGTGTGAAACAGCTGAGGTTGGGGTGACGGGGGAAGGGGGTGTCACATCCCTCTTGCTGCATTTCTGGATCTGCTACTGGCTCTACTAGAAAACACGTTCCAGTACAAAGAAAATCTAAGCCACTAAACCCCAGCTGCTCCAGGCCTCAAATTCTTCCAACCCCCACTCTCCTACATGTATCCTGGTGTCCTCCACAGTAACCTCTACCCATAACTCTCCAAATGTTCTCTACTCCCTCTCACCCTCACCTTATTGCAGCCTGCTTCCTTTCTTAACTAGTTTCTCAGCACGTCCTACTAAAGATATTGCCTAGCCCAGTAGCAGGTGTGCCACAAATTAACCCTGCACCCTCCCCATGAACACCACGTGCCCCCAGAGGCTGGGGAGGCACAGTGAGCTCCCACAGGTGGTGGCAGTGCTGTTGGCAGCAGGGGGCCAGGGAGGTGACAAGCACTGACCAGCAGTCAGTGACCGCTTACAGATGCCACCAGCAGAGTCGGTGGCTGCCAGTGGCAATTGCAGACCACCCACAGACACCGCCAGTGATGTCGATGGTGAAGGGGTGGTGGCAGCTGCCAGCAGTGTTGGTGGTGCCTTTTCACAGGGGGTGCACCGCCATGTGCACCTGCATGCACCCCCCACGCGTTGCCCAAGACCCTCCCTGAGTACCACTCTGATTCCTTGTTCTTACCAGAGTGGCAGCTGTGCTCCCTGCCCTATCTACTACTGTGCTGCTTGTGCCCTCCCCAGTCTGTTGCCTGCCACACAGAGGCTGCCTGTGCCACTTGTGGCACCCATGCTGCAGGTTGGCCAACTTTATCCTAGCTGTTCTCCTAAACATGGCTCAAAATATAGGGGGGGAGAGAGAGAGAGAATGTTATTCGTATTCCACTGAGCATATCCCCTCTAACCCACATCACCCCTCAAGACACCTTCAAAGTGCAGATTCCTGATTCTCAAAATCTCTCCAGGCCTCTTTGAAGCCTCCATCTCCTCTTGTAACAATGAAGGTGGGGAGCATTTGGGACCCATTTGGAGATAAGGTGATTTTAAATCCCTGTTTTACTGTTACCAGGTGGAGCTCGGCATCTCAATATCATAGGCATCAGCCACTTCCTGTCACTATTGGACCTACTACTAAGTACAGGGTAAAAGGTGGAGAACAGTTGCAGCATTTGGAAATTAAAAGGTTCTGATTTGACATTTTCTTATTTTTCTTTAGCTACATAAAGTTGTAGACCATAAAACTGTGGTTGGCTTTTTTATAGATGCATGAAAGAGAGTTTTAACATTTTTATTTTGGAAGAGAGAAAAACGTTGTAAGAATCATACGGCTGGCAGGGACCTCAAGGCCCAACACCCTTGTTCAAACTGCAGATTCTGCTGCCTCTGATTCTTCCCAGACTAGCTTATCTAGCTTCTTGAAAACTTCCAGTATAGAGAGTCTGTGATTTCTCTAGACAGCTTGCTACACTGATGGTTAAGTGTTTTTTTTATTAAATGTAATCTAAATCTGCTTTTGCTGAAATTTAAACCTGTTGTTCATGTCTGCTGTCTGACCCAAAAAAGAACTGTTCTTCTTCATAGCAACATTTCAAGTATCTGAAAAATGTTATCATGTCTTCCCTTCATTTTCCTTTCTCTAAACTAAACATACCTACCATGGTTCTCTCATTGTTCCTCATATGATCTGCATTCCAGACCATTTATCATATTCACCCACTTGTGGTTCTTCTCTACATCTGAACTGCATACAATATTCTAGCTGAGGTCTGAACAGTTTTGAGTAAAGTGGTGCTACCACCTCTTGTGTCTTACATACAATACATGCAATACTTCTTTAATGCAGCTCCAAAGTACATTGGCTTCTTTGGTGGCTTCTTTGGTGACTCATAGTGAGTCTGTGATCCACCAAAATACACAGACCCTTCTCAGGAACACTGCTGACTCACCAATCATTTCTGTAGGTGTGCATTTGAGGTAGAATCCCCTTCATTTCATGCACCACAATGACACCTGCATAACCCAGCTACATAACTGGCAGTTTTGGCATCTCTGCACAGTCTGCAATCCTGTTGCATATACATATGAAGTGTCCACAAGGCTACTGGGCATGTACAGGTATGTGGCTCTGCACAAATATACCTGAGCCCTGTCCTGTAGCCTGCTGGTTACAGAATTTTCTGGGCAGTAAAAGAAGGTGGTTCAAACCCACTCAGACAGAGAAGAATCTATAATCCAGCCCCTCTTGCTGAATGAATACTCTAACCACTAAGCTGCTGATAAAAGATGGGCTCCACCTTGTCCTCGCCCAAGATTGCATAGGTGTTTTAGAATATAAAAACCAAATTTATAAGCCAGGATTTCAGATGTACACTCCTTTTCTGCACCTTCTATCAGCTAGCCCATTTAGTGTCCTAGCTACTGTGACTTTCTATACCAACAGCTTCTCTCTTCTCTGTTCAAATTAGACACGTATCTTTTTCTTTTAATTTAACTCCTGGATACTCATGCCTAAATTTTGGGAGAAACAACCCTTGAGTTTACTTAAGCACCTAAATTAAGATTTAGAACTCCAGACATGTCTGAACCATATTGGCCTCACAAAAATGCAGTTGCTTTCCTTTTAAAAGAAGAAACCTACTTTTACTATAATAGCCCGGGGATTAAAGCAATCATCTGGGAAGTGGGAAGGCTGAGTTTTAGTCCTCTTCAGACAGGAGTTCAAACCCGCAACTTCCAACCCTCTGAAGGATTCTCTAATGAGGCTATGAGCCATCCACAGGTTAGGTATCCTCCTCTTAAAGTGGGATAATTGTGCTATGAGAAATGCAAAATCCATGCAAGAAAGAAAGAACCCAGGAGAGAGCTAGCTCTATAGTTGGCTCTTTGACCTATTTATGCATTTTTGTTTTTCAAAGCTATTAGATTAAAAAAGAGAGAGAGAGTGCATCTTAGGAACAAGGACCAAACCCCAGGACTCCCCAGTGCTAAATGGCTAATCACTAGACTACAGACTGATATACCCTCTTGTGATGCATCCTGTTGGCTCCATTAATCTTGCATTCTTAACTATTTTGTGGCCCAACTTCAAACAGACAGGGAGTGTTCCCTCACCAGCACTATTCTATATAGCAGTGCACTCTCCACAGGGGTGAAAAATGTGATTTTGAACCCCTGCAGGCTGAAAAGGGCTAGAACCTGGATCTCTTAACAGCTAGGCTTCTTGGTAAAAGGTGAGCAGTGGCACCACCACCCTATCCTCTGGCAGCTCTGTTTCTAAAAGGCAAGAGTGAGGACAGCTCCATTTTTTAGAAAGCACCTACTATCAGAGGCAAAATTTAAAGATTCTGGATTCTGAGTGGATTAGACTAATTTGCAAAAATCGAATCAATTCAAGCTCAGGCTTCTTGAATGTCTGTCCCTAGCCATGATATTTATAGTGCTTTCAGCAGTTTAAAAGCAATATAAAAAGTGAGCAGATCAAAGACACAGTATCATAGTGCTACAGATTAGTCTGAGCCACATCAAATATGGCCCTAGATGAAGCAGGGATAATTCTGAAGTGCTCCACTGTGAAAGGCATCAAAATCAGGCAGTGTATAAATGGATCACAACAGAGGTGTCACCTTTCAGGCACAACCAGAGCTGGCACCAGAGCTGGACCAAGGTGAAAACCCTGAAGGTGCTAAACAAGACCACTTGTGATCTCAACCAGGTTTCAGATGCGTTGTGAGCAGCATATGCTTACTATGAGGAGCTCTCAAAGATCTTCACCAGGGACAACCCTGCTGAGCCCTACGTTACCACCAACTCTGGGGTGGACTCAAAACCACCTGACAACAGCAATGAGGCAGTAAAAGGAATGTGAAGAGGCTCCAGTCCAACCACCAGAAAAGGAGCTGCCCAAAAAGACAAGGAGGATTCTGGGGTGTCCCGACTCCTGTTTTGGACTGCCAGGCAGGAGGTGTACCAGCAGCTGGGACAGGGAAGCTCAAATAGCTCTGGCATCAGAGAGGAGTAGCCTACCACTCTGCCACCACCATGTTACCAGCTAGTAGAGATGCTTGAAAAGGAAAAAAAGGAAAAAAATGAATGGAACTGTAAGTAAACAAAGACTCTGCCATGAAGTGAAGAGTGGAACAAGTTGCTCTTGGCACAGTTCAGTCAGAGACTGCAGGGCAAGGACATGCTAAGTATCCATTTTCTGCTCTCACTAGGAGAGCAATGGATATGAAACTGGTCAGCCCTGCAAGGTCAGGAAGCACAGACCAGAAGCCTGGGGGTTGAGTACCTGCCATTTAGCAGTGAAGCAGCATACTAGCGTGGTGGACTTATTAATACAGCCCTGCAGCCCAGGCTTGGAGAATCTTCATTGTCATTGGTGGAACCCGTCCACCAATCAAGTAACACTGGGAAGGGGCTTGCCCTGCCCCTGCCTGGCGGGGAGGAATAGGAGAACCCTAGACCTGGTTGTAGCCTGCTCTTTGCTGGTCCGACAACACTCTGGGGCGAAGCCTACGGAGTGAATAAAAGGAGCTGCATGCCCAACACACGGCAGATGCGTTGAGGGACAGAGAAGATGACGGGCAAAGAAGAGCTGGTGTGAGCTGGCCAGTGCACAGAACCAGCACCCTGAAGAGCCCAAAGATGCCTCTTTGGGAGCGGAAGCAGCAAGCGGCTGTGTCCCCAGCTCCACCGCAGGGAACATGGTGTCAGTGCACGGCTTAGTGCACAGAGCACAGACCCTGGGAGCCTTTTGAGTCAGCTTGGGTCTGCAACCCCTGACATGAGGCCAGGGACCCAGTGCACGCAGCAGTGCATGGAGCCCAGACCCTGGGAGCTGCATGAGGCAACTCAGGTCTGCAACCCCCCAGCGTGCAGCCGGGACTTCGGTGCACACAGCAGTGCATGGAGCCCAGACCCTGGGAGATGCACGAGGCGGCTCAGGTCTGTGATCCCTGGCAGGTGGCCAGGGAACTCAGTGCAGGCGGCGCTGCATGGAAGCAGACCCTAGAAGTCACTTGAGGCAGCTCAGGTCAGCAGCCATTGACGCAAGGCCAGCGGCTCAGTGTAGGCGACGCTGCACAGAGGGCCCAGGAGCAGATTGAGCCCCAGCAGTGCACAAGGACACCTGGACCTCCAACCCCCAGCAGAGCCCTCAGTGCACAGGGCCACCTGCAGATGGCAGCCCAAGGGGAGCCAGTGGCCTGGGAGGGCCTGCCCGTGAGGAGCAACTCAGCCAAGTGGATGAGGACCACCCATCCAGGCCCTGAAGTTGTAAGTTGTTGGGGAAGGGATTCCTACAGGGGACGGGAGCTACCCCAGCTGTGAGGCAGTTTATCCTCAGGTAAGCTTGACCTAACCGGATGTTGAGGTGCCTTATATTTTGTGGGAGAGTGGCCCCTAGTCTGTGACACTGTTCCTTATATTTTGTAGACATTTTAACTTTGTATATTAGTAGTTTAATAGAGTGTTAATTATAAACTTCTTAAGGAACACTGCTGGGACCCCTTCCCTAATGGCTATACTTACCTGTGTATATTTGTGTTTTGACTGTTGTTTAATTGTATTTATACTTGCTCACCTGTATTTAACTGTTGGTTGTCTATTTTAGACCAACTGTCTATCAACACATTGCTTGGGGCTACCTGGAGGGGTGTAATCTTTCAGCCTTTATCTGTAGGACAAAGTATTATATGATAATTGTGTGTGTGTGTTTTATTAATAGCAATTCTTTTAATTTTGTATATATTCATAAATCTGTATGTAATTAAGTATCTCTTGTCCTGGCCTGACTCTATAGGGAGTAGAAGGATCTGGCCTGCACATTACAGATCCCTCTCTCAGCACTCCTGCCTGCCACCCATCCCTTCTATCTGGAGAGGGCAAAACAGTACTTGGGTTCACCTGGGTTACACTAGCATCAACTCCAGTATATTTTGAGATGCTTTAGCAGAGAGGAGCTCTGTATATTTGTGCAGTACTGATGCACTCCAAATTAGAAGTCCTTTAAACAAAGCCCTTTATTAGATACAGCCCTAAATAATAGCCACACTCTCTGGAAGGGTCCTAAACCCTCCTGTTTCAGAAATTTCCCATTTGGTATGTTATTCTATAGCTGCTACTACAGGGTCTCCCAAACATTTCTCTCAGCCACTGGCACTGGCCACTGCCAGCACCAGGATCCTAGACTAGCTGGATCCCTACTCCTTGTGATATTTCTAGCTGTGCTGGTATGCAGAGAGATGCTGTCTCTTGGGATGTGCTATATTTCTCTGTCAGTGAGGAGTAACCATCTTTCCTTGAGCCCTAAATTCTAGAGAGTTAAAAATAAGCACCAATTTCCTAACATCCCAGCTCTTAAGCTGAATTTAGGGACATTCCGAAGCTGCAGTGAGTCTGTTCTGCCCAGAAGGGATTAACATTGTTCCCATTGGAAGGGTTTGCCAGATGTTTTTGCATCTGCTCAAGATTAGGGGGCTTGTCTCAGATACAGAGAACAAGCAAGGTCATGTTCTCACGCTACAAAGGGATTGCACGTCCTTTAGCAATCCTGATGCAATGGGGACTGACATCAGACCAAACACATTAAAAAATACAAAACAAGAAGGCCAACCCCCCTACATAACCGCAAATCCACTCGGGTTAAAATGCAATAAACACTTTGTACAGAAACATCTCGTGTCAATTAATACATTATTATTGCTACTATTCTTCTTAGCAACAGCAACAGAAACAATAATTACTAATCATGACTAGAACTCTGCAGTTCATCCTGTCTCACGCAGCATTTTTTCTCCTCCTCTTACCTTTAGGAAAGTTGATCGCGCTGATTATATGATTTTCTTGCAGCCGATAAAAAGCAATTCTTTGTAGACTGGCTCTTTCCAATTCTGAGAGGCTATGTAAGTGCACAGGCTGCATTGTGATTCCCTGTCCTAGCTTAAAACATCAGGTAAAATTTCTCTGAAATGCAAAAAGATTAACAAAAAGTCAAAGTGGCCAATTGAAGAGTCTTTCTTAGAGAGATGAACAGATCAAACCTAATAAGACATCCTTTTAAATGAATAAATAAGTTGAGTGTTTTACATCCCCATAAAACCTTTTCACTATCAAATTTCCAAAATTAGGTGAAAAATGCATTTAATCTGTTAGAATTGTCAAATAAAGCAATTGCAAGTGTAGAAATGCCAGATAAGGATCTGCAACCCTAACTTAGGACCCTGATTCATATGCATCACTACAATATCAGCTCAGATATTATCCCCACCCAGATCTTGAGAGCTGCTGAGAGCTGGTTTACCCCTGAAACAGCTTCAGGGCTAATTTAACCCAGGCTATTTCCTTCAATCACTCTTCAGTATAGATATCTTGAAGAAGTATAAATGTACATGTGGGAGGAAGAAAGCATGATCTAAGAAAAATAAATTTCAATTTAAATACAGATATTTATTAGCATAAATAGATTATTTATTTAAATCAGAGGTTGGTAAACTTTTTGGAGCAGCTCAGTCCAAGACAGGCTGGTTGCCATTGCCACTGCTTCGCCCCAGTGCTAAATTGCCACTGATGCACATGGGATCCAGCTGTAGTCAAATGCACAGAATCCCCAATGCTGAAACACTGCCAAATTGCCCCACTGCCAAAGTACAACCAATATCTAGGCTTTGCAGGGTTGATGAAATCACTTGGCAAGCCAAATCCAGTCCATGGTCCATAGGTTGCCAACCCCGATTTAAATAAATGTTGCTATTCCTTTGCTTTCATCCCATTTTCTAGTCCTAAATTTCTTTAAATAGATCTTAATTGTTAGCAGAATTTTGTAGAATCCTAATGAAGTAGGGCCAGGAGGTAACCTAATCCAGCCCTTGCTCAAGGCTGGATCATCCCTGTTTAAACCATTCCACACAAGTGTTTGTTGAACTTGCTCTGAAAAACTTCCTAATTTGCACAGGAGTTTTTATTCCAACTAAGAAATTGTCTCCTTAAACACTGAAGTGTGCCATAAAGAGAACTCTGGAGCATCCTCACTGTGATTTCAACACAAACTGAGATGTATTGTAATAAAGTAGCTGACCCATTTTATGATTTCAGCCAAAACCACCTGCCAAAATATTGAGCTCCGCATAACCAGAAAGCTATAGTTTGTTGTCTTTTCCCCGGCCTGCAGCCTCTTCCTCTGCATCCTAGTTCCTTCAGTTCAAAAACTTTGTTGTTACTCTCAGTCCCAGATTTTAAGCAGGAGCAAGAGAACCTGGGTCCCATGGGCGACTGGTGCCTCTTGAGTCTGGGGGAGCACTTGCAGAAGTTGCCGGCAGCATCAGCAGTGGGGATGGCCCTGCTGGGGGGGCACATGCCACCCCCCTCATGTACCCTCTACTGGTCACCTATGCTGGGTCCTGCTGGTTCACTGAAATCTGCAGCAACATTCATTATACTCCCATCATCCCCTGCTGCCAACATTCTCTCCACAGGTTTGCTCGACATCAGGGATATCAACCGCTCCCAATTCCTTGCTCACTTGGCTCTACTGCTCTCAGAACTCAGTAGTTTCAACAGGTGGCCATGACTCCTGCCTACCGTGATCTGAGGGCAACTCACAGCCAAGAAGGAAACCCCCACACAATACCTTGACAAAGCTGAGAAAAGACACAGAGCAACAGAGCAGCAGCAGCTATACTGGAAAGCATACATGGTCAGAATGGAGTCCACAGTCTCCCAAAAAAGGGGTTAAAATATTTCTCTCTTTAAAAGAAAAAGAGAAATAACTTATGATAAAGGAAAATGCAATTAATTAATTAAATAAAAATAAATTCTTGAAAAAGTACCAGACCAAAGATTCTATCCTCTTCTATATAGGTTCTTATACTACCCTCATCACAGTAATATCTCAGCACCTTCCAAGAATGTGTTAAATGATGTGAAGAACCTTTACCCAAAGTACCTTGTCTGCTTTAAGTGCTGTGACAAACATCTGTCCCACATACTTCATTCTAATGCCTGCAAGCTACCAGAAAAGAGGAAACACTAGACACTACTCAGGATGGCTTAATTTGGGACCAGCTGTATGGTATCAATAGCCACTTCTGATTCCAGACAAGAAGTGTAAATAGTAGAAGAGGGCACTGTTGCAGACATGGGGTGACAACAGTAGAAGAGGGCAGTGCTACAGAGGTGGGCAGATAGCTGTGGTGAGAGAACTTTAGCAGTGGTGGGAGAACTCTTTCCTGGAAAGCTGCACTGAGTGGCTTAAAGCTGTGGAGGCAGACTGCCAAGTGAATGTCGTTTTGAGTGTGGAAAAGGGAGTGCTGATAGCGGTCTGACAAAAAACAGCTGCTAATGGCTAACAATTCATGGGAAACTAGTAGCCATTACAGAGTCTGACTATAAAAAAAGATGCTCCATGCACACTTTCTGAGGCTTTTGAATGCCCACCAAGTCAACAATTTTGCACAACATTCCTATTCCCTGCCCTCAATTCACTCCCTACCTTGTCCATAGCAAGCCCATAGTCCTTGAGAGCTGAGTTGTGGGGCATCTGGCTATTGTTAATGCTGGAGGTGTTGAAGGATATTAGTTCCCTAAGGGGACTTTTTTGCCTATAACCAGGGAAGTAACTGAAGCCAGGGCTTCAACCAGGGCTGACTCTTTGTCAGCCTAGTGTTGACCCCAGAAAGAAGTGCCATATGGTAGCTGCCACATACTCAGTGGTCGTGTCTACACAAAACACTGACTGTGCAGTAGCTCGTTACAACCGTGCAGTAGTGTCAACGCATGGCACAATGCTACTGTGCAGTAGTAACAAGCTACTGCACAGTCAACATCACCAAAAAGCCATTCAGGGATGCTACTGTGCAGTAACAACTATGGCACAGTCAACAACTCATGTAGACACAGCCAGTGAATGCACCTCTGTACTGAAGTGACTTGGGAGGAACATTAATGAGAAAATATGACCAATAAATGGACTCTGCCCACTACAACTGGCAATTCACAAAATCTAGCAGAGAACACTGCATTTTCTGCTTGTACTGGATGTTACTGCAGATTAAGTACAGTGTTTGCTTTGCTAAATCTGCAACATCCCTGTTGATCATGGAACCCTTCTGGGTCACAGCCATAATTTTCTTTATGAGCTTCTGCATCTCCTTCCTCATCTGCCTGATGCCTTGCTCCTGTGATCCTGGTTTCATCCTTTTCCTCTAGGCCTCTATGGCCCTTTCATGACTTGCAGAGGAGTCTACCAGCTCCCACAGCCTCCTTCCTCCCCTTGTATTCTTCCTTTCTTGCCTTACATTTGCAGACACTGCATGTGGACAGCTGTCAGCATCTGTGACTTTAAGACCCCAAGAGTTGCAGGTGCTAATCCTAAAAGGCAAGAAATATAAAACATTGTTATTGTTTCCTGCTCTCTTGCTGCAATAAAACTCCAACATCCCTGGAATTTCTGGAAAGTCACTACCAGAGCCTCTCCCAAAACTTGGGAACCCATAGGCGGTGGAAGGCTGGGGCTAATGGGGCTTAGCCCTCCCAAACACAGGGCAGCAGGTAGGGCTTCCGGGAAACCCGGCTGCAGGCTCTGGGCTGTTGCAGCAGGGTGGAGAGGAGTGCACACACTCAGATACACAGCCAGGATCACAGTCCCAGTGTGTGGCTGCCTAGCACAGTAGGCAAGTTTCAGTCTACTTTCTTTGTGAAGGGGAAGGGGCTTGGGGGCGCAGATCGAGACCCCCACAGTGCAGGAGGGAGTGGGGTAGGGGCAGAGGTGAATGGGGCCCTGGCCAGGCCAGGTCATGGGACAATCAGAGCCCAGTGGCATGTCCAGAGGCACGGTGGGGGGGCACTCCTGCCACTGTGTGCACTGTGGGGGAATCAAGGGAGGGGGGCACGTGCCCCCCCATCTGTTCATGGGGTTTAGGTGGGCTGCAGCTGCGGGCTGGGCTCTTCTCTGCCTCTGTACCTCACTGCTTCGAGAGCGGTGCAATGTCATGTGCATCCTGCCACTGGTCTGCACCGTGCCCTCTGCCCACCTGGCAGTGGGACACACATGGTGTTGCACTGTTCCCAGGGCAGCTGCAGCAGGGAGTAAAGCCTAGTTCACAGCCGCAGCCCACCTCTGCCCCGCGCACAGATGGGGGAGGGGCACGTGCCCCCCAGGCCTCTGCTGGGGTGTGTGCAGCAGTGGGAGCCCCCCCGCCTCTGGATGAGCCGCCTGGGCTCTGATTGTCTGATTGTCCCACCACCTGGCCCTACTCACCCCAGCCCCTGCCCCACTCCCTCCCTCACCACTGGGGCCACAGTCTGCCCCACCCCAATACACAGCCTATCCCCTCCCCCCGCCCCTTCCCACACAGACTAACCTCCCGGGTGGGAGAGAGGAGGCGCGCACATGCACACGCCCCCTCAGCCTCCCCCCGGCAATCATTTTTCCCCTTCCACCTATGCAGAGATCTTAGCAATGATAATACTTTCATTCTGTAACCTATACACTTTTGAAGCCATCATCTGATATCAAAGACAAGAAATGTGCAAGGGAGCTGAGGGGGAAGAGAGTGTGGGGGAGATGATGGTCTCCAAAAGAGGATCATGTTCCCTACAGTAGTCAAGAGAAAAAAGGAGAAGTCACATCCAGGTACTGAAACCCTAGGGCAGTGAAGATAAGAATGACCAGAAGAGGCAATTCAGATATTACTTAATGGATAAACTACCCAAATCATGAAGGAGTTAGAAGAAACAAACCCTAAATCAGTATGTTTGAAAGGGTGTAGATGGACCTGTTTCCTCTAGGACAAAAATGCCACTGATAAAAAGAAGCTAAACCTGTTTAGGGTTACATCATTGGTTTACATCAGTTTTGAACCAGGACTAAGCCACTTCTCACAGTTTAAGTATCACATTTGTCTGGGCACTAAGACAGCCTGTGTAGCCCAGTAGTGATGGGTGTGGCAGCCTGAGATTCAATTCCTTCTGTCCATCAACTAAGTAACTATGCAAATTTTACAAATTTGCCCAAATAAGTAGGTTGTTGCAATTTTAACTATATTGGGCTTTGCCAGGCATTCAGTGTAAAGAATAAAACTAGTACAAACTCTGAAAAACAGATTTCCCAGGGCTTTCTTACATAGATTCATAGACTGTGGAGTCGGAAGGGACCACAATGGATCATCGTGTCCGACCCTCTGCCCCTGGCAGGAAAGAGGACCGAGGTCAGATGACCCCAGCCAGGTGACTATCTAGCGTCCTCTTGAAGACCTCCAAGCTAGGTGATAGCACCACCCCTCTTGGAAGCCCATTCCAGATCCTGGCCACCCTTACTGTGAAAAATTTCTTCCTAATATCTAACCTAAATCCACTCTCAACTAGTTTACATCCGTTATTCCTAGTCACTCCCTGGGGCGCCTTTGTAAACAGAGCTTCCCCTATTCCCCGTTGACCTCCCCTAATAAATTTATAGGCAGCCACAAGATCTCCCCTCAGCCGTCTCTTGTGAAGGCTGAAGAGATTCAGCTCTCTCAACCTCCCCCCATAGGGTCTATCATGAAGGCCACTAATCATGCGAGTGGCCCTCCTCTGGACCCTCTCGAGATTCCCTGCGTCCCTCTTGAAGTACGGCACCCAAAACTGGACACAGTACTCCAAAGTATCCACAGTACATATTATACTTCAAGCTTATCAAATGTTGATCAGTTAGTGTTAGCTCAAGTTTAGAGCGGTTACACGTTCAGGCTAAAAACCTCTGCTACTAAAGGGTTGGTGAGCCAAGACAGGCTTCTATCCCTGCTCCAACCCCCTGCCTAGGCAGGGTGCTGGAGTCAGATGACCCCAGCCAGATGCCTATCCAGTCTTCTCTTAAAGACCCCCAGAGTAGGGGAGAGCATCACCTCCCTTGGAAGCCTATTCCAAATTTTGGCCACCCTTACCATGAATAAGTTTTTCCTGATATCTAGCCTGCATCAAAGGAACACCAGCCCACCAACTGTCAACGCTGACTTGGTGCAGAATCACTTGGATGGACTGGATGTGTTCAAGTCAGCAGGCGTGAATGAGCTTCATCTGAGGGTACTGAAGGAATTGGCAGGTGTCATAGCAGAACCACTGGCACTGCTGTTTGAGCACTCGTGGCACTCGGGTCAGGTCCGGGAGGACTAGAAAAGGGCAAATGTGGTCTCTATTTTCAAGAAGGGGAGGAAGGAGGATAGGCCAGTAGTCTCACCTCCATCGTTGAAAAGGTCTTTGAAAAGATTATGAAGGATCATATTTGTGGGAGTCCAGCAGGGAAAATAATGCAGCAGGGAAACCAGCATGGATTTGTAGTAGGTAGATCATGGCTGACCAATCTGGTTTCATTGTATAATAGGGTCCCAAAATGCTTAGACGCAGGAGTAGAGGTGGGTGTAGTTTTCTTAGATATTACCAAGGGCTTCGATACAGTATCTCATCCCATACTTATAAATAAATTAAGAGGCTGTGACATAGATGTTTACACAGTCTGGGGGGGGGCAAATTGGCTTAGCAGTCACACCCAG